TTCTCGTCCGTCGTTTTATATGAATTTTTCGTTTTTCTTGAGAGTTCAGTTAATTTTTTCGGTATTCGAAATATTAAAAAAAATTAGAAATCGTGAAAAATCACGATCTCTATCGAAAGCCAGAAACCAGAAATCGAAAAAAGGAACATAAAAGTGCAAAAATTCATGGAATCAATAAATTTATTTTTACTGAGTCTTATTTAAAGTGTTTTCTTAGGTACTTTTTATTAAACAAGTAGTTTTTAAGGAAAGAACACAACGGACTTCAATTCTTATATTCAAATTTAGGGGTACCGTTAATTTCTTCATGATCCAATCATCGAATCTCTAAACCAAATTACGGGACGAACCTTGAGGTACCATCTTTCTACAAAAAAATGATTATTGAAATCGGTTCACGTGGTCCAAAGTCACGTATTCCGGCGAATTGATAACCTGCCCTTTTTTTAAAGTCGGTTAAAAGTGTTTGAGTTCTGTTAATGTTATGTAAATAAAGTGCAGTTTATGAATTTTAAAACGTTTATTTATTTATTACATACTGTACATAAAACTTGCATAAATATATTTTAAAGAGCGTATTATCTGAAGAAAATTTTCAGTATTTTCCGGTGATATATCTTCAGAAATATAAAACCCCCCCTAAAATATATTCCTGGGTGCGCCCCTGCATACACTTGTGATCAGCTGATTAAGTCATCCATTTCGGCTGTTTCTTTTTTGTTTATTTAATGTTTATTATTTTCTCATAAAAGCCTAGCTCATTATATGGGCAAATCTAAAAAATAGGTACACTTTCAAAATAAAAATTTTAATTTTTAAATTTGTGAGCACACCTACGTTTTATATATTATTTTATTCGTAATATCTTAATACATCGATTAATATAAATGTAATTCATTTTCACCAAGTGCTTCAGAAGTTAGACGAGGAATAAACATGAAATAGAAAACAAAAGAATAAGCTGGGTTCAAATTACTCTGTTCAAGTTGTAAACTTTGAGCAAAGATTTTGAGAGTTAAACTCACTTAATTGGGACGTTCTAAATGCAATGGCGTGCCCCGTTTTACCAGATTGGCTCCGGTTCTCGAGATAACGGTACTTGAAAATTTGATTAAATTTTAACTATTTTATAAATAACTCCCTCAGTTTTGAAGTTATTTTACTAAAATTTTGAACATAACAGTTCTTCAATATTACCTTAATTATTTCTTAAAATTATCGAAATAGGTTCACATTAACATATAGCTCCAATACAACTGATTACTCAGATATGTGTTTTTGCGCTATAACTCTAACTTCATATCTGAATAATAAATTGTATGCGTGCTATATGTTAAATTGAACCTATACTAAATTTTAACCTGTTTAATTTAAGGAGTTATAACGCAAAACAACATCTCTGATCAATCAGTTGTATGGGAGCTAGATGTTTTAGTGAACCGATTTCGATGATTTTATGGAATAGTTAAGGTAATATTAAAAAACGGTTATGTGCAAAATTTTAGTAAAAAAACATTTGTCGAAAAAAAGTTGCTTTGATACCACTCTCGAAATATTCCGACTAAAAGAAGGAGCATCATTAAAAGTAGTAAATCAGGGTTTTTACACACTTCTAGAGACAAATTTTTTGAAGCATTTTGTAGGTATATGTAATTTTATAAGCACTAGCAGTTATAGAAAGATTTAGATCGTTTCGACGTATTTTCCAAATGTGCCCTCAATTAAGGTGTTTTTGAAATAAAAATTACGCTCAAGATCGCAGATTATTTTATCTTTAAAAGTTAGTTTATTCTGAAAGCACACCTCTTCCTAAGGTATCAAATTATTCGTAATTGTTTGTAGAATACAATACATACTTAAAAAGTTCTTAAAATTAAATGCTTCAAAACCTATACGCAATAAACCGAAAATTTTGAAAAATGTGAAATGTGGAGCTACAGACTTTGAGTTACTTGCCATTTCGTTATTTTTTAATGCACACTTTTCTTACCTACTACATATGAAGTGTACACATAAGTGCTAAATGCCCATTTGATTTCAAATCAGAATAGGCGTGCTTCAAAAGTTATGACATAATTAATTGTGCCCCTCTTAAAAATTACATAATAAATTCACTTGTTTTCATTATTTTTTTTTAATTTAAACACCGATATTTCAAAAGTTATGCAGCGAATTGATCCATTTTTTTTTTTGAGGCTTCAAGAGTGCGTCAATGAATTATATCCAAAAGCAACAAGCTTGATTTAGTTTACAACAGTGAAAATAAAGGTAAACAATACAAAGGTTACCTGTTTTTTAGATTTGCCCATATAACAAACAAAATATAAATCCACATTTCAAACGTTGTGCAAAAATTATAAAAAATTGGCAAAATATCAGCTAGACTTTCAACCTTTTATTCAGATTTTTTAGAATTTTTTTGAGTATGCAGGTTGATAGCCCATTAAATTCCAGGGCAATAATGTGTAAGTTTTAAGGTGCTAAAGATCGCGTTGATTTTTAATATATTTTTTTTTCTTCTTGTAAACATTTGGTTAAGTGATCTGTTGTCGAAAAAGCTAAACTACGTTCTGTTAAGAAGGAACATAGCAACATTTCAGCCTTTTTACGTTCATTACATTTTCAATAAGGGGCCCCATGTGACTAATTGTGTCGTTTTCCTTACGCGCTTAAATAAGGGTTAAGTCATCTGTGTCGAAGGAATAAATATTTTTTGAAGCAGCTGCTGCAAAATCAAAGCTTGTAAAGATTTATTAAGAAAATAATTCAAAATCAGTTCTAATTACAAGATTTAGTAAGAGAGAAAAATTACTGGGAAGTTAAAAAACGTCATTTTTTACACAAAAAACGTCCAAACGTCAACAGGATATAAAAAAACGTCCAAATGAAGTTAAAAACGTCAACCTGGCAACGCTGCTTCTACCCTGTGGGGAAAATCTCTAGTTCTGAACTGGTGCGCTTCTAGGCCATTTAGACCCAGTACTGGTTCGCGATAAATCTCTTTTGCATGCAAGCAACTGGCGAATTTAACATGGCGATTTCCTAGGAAGTGTCAATTGCCCCCCGCTGCATCCCTTTTCCGATAGTTCCGAACTAGTCCTAAATTCGAATCGAAATCGACAGACGAAAGAAAAAAGTATCATGATTTTTCAATCTTTTTGGTTCTTCCGTGTGTGCGATTTTAAGTTATTTTGGAAGAAATGTGTTTTCAATTTGAAATTAAATTTGTTTGAATTATTTTAAGAAATGTACGTTTACATACCTTTAGCTGTAGCTGATTTTGCAGAGGTGCTCGCTATTATTTCTTAGATTCCAGACGGTCCCAAGATGTTGAAATGTTAACACAAATTTTAGTTTTGTATTACCAAGCTATGAAAAAGCATCTGCGAAGCACAGAATAGAAGCGTATTTGAACGAAAAAGCCGCCGAACACATACCTATGTAAACTAAACAAGCCACCCGCTGCATCCCTTATTCGATAGTTCCGAAATAGTTCTAAATTCGACAAATAGGATCTAGTTCGTTCTGCTTCCCTTTTTCTATAGTTCCGAACCATTTCTAAATTCGTCACTTTAGATATAGATTTCTAGTGAAAAAAAAACTGAAAAAATTAGTTTCTTAAAAGTACCACTTTTCGCCGATTTTGGACTGGTGGGTATCTACATAGTTCCTATCGGACTGGTTCCTTTTTGGCGATAAAGACCTAGTACGGAACTAGAAATTTGATTCACCAGTCCGCGGTTTCCCTGTAGGGTATGTATAGATCAGTGGTCGGCAAAAGTTAAACTGTGACTGTGTTGGTGAGAACAAGAGAACTGCTCCGCATGAGCAACCCAGTAGGAAATTACGATAAGTGAAAAAAAATGTTTACTTATCGGTCTTCAATAGAAACATATAAATACATATATTTAACACATACATATGTACATATATGTGCATCGCGCATTTACTATAAAAGTATCATAATCCCAAAAAAACAAAAATCGGGTTACGTATGCAAGAATGAACATTAGCTCTTTCTTATGATGTGTAAAAATTTCATAGCTGTAACGATTACCAGTAGCCTTATCCTGAGTTTCGCCCGAAAAAAAAAAAATCCCACGAAAAATTATCATCCGCGCATAGTATGTAAACTCATGGAAACAAATGATAAAGCTAATATGTATTAATGTTTCCCTTGGGAGTATATGTAAATTCAAAACTTTAAAACTGGTTTTCTCGAGTTTTTAGTTTTTTGAGTTATCAAAATATTGAAGCAAAACACAAATAAAAAATTTTAAAATTCATTTGAATTCACCCACGTCAAATATTGAAAATTTAAATAAAAAAATTGAAATTCATGTGCATTAAAATTTTCCATGTCATTATGAAATGATTAAAAATGTCTTTTAATCGCATACATATTCCCTTTAACAACCACCCTTTAATTCTTTGAAAAAAAATTAACTTTTTATTACCTTCCTTTTATTAGCTCGGGATGTAACTATGTAATATTGATGCGCCTAAAAGATGCAGCGATTTCTATTCCCAAGTTACATACCTGATGACAGTACGAATGGCAATTATAATAGGGGGTTTTAGTTTTTTAAACTATAATCTTATTTCATTCAAAAAGTCGTTGAATTTCTTCTTCATCAAAATGTTTCCTTACGAAAAGAATCAAAATGTCTTTGAATAGTATATTCTTTATTTTTTAAATGACTTATAACACAAAAGACATTGCATGTCACCAAAAGCATTTTCAAGCATGTAATATTTCTCGCAAGGCATTTTTGCATACAAGAAACAAACACTATTGAGAGAATACAAAGGCTGCGCCCATGATTCAATAATACAAGGTTCGATAAACTGACAGTTGTCCCTCTCGCACCGCTCCCTTAGGCCTGGCACGGTGTTGCTTCTTTTGAAAATGATTTTGAAAAATAGTAGTTTTACGTATAAAAAAGTACTATCAGGTAAATTTCTGTTCAAAACTAACTGCGTTGGCATCACTGCCGCCATTATTGCTCTTTGCTTTCTTCATATTCGCTGTCATTTGATTTTTCAGATTGCGTGAAATTAGGTAAGTTTTCCAATAATTTCAATTTATTCCTAAATATAGTTAAAGTTTCTAATTACTAATGTCTAATATACCTAATTTGCTGCATAATTAAGTGCAGCGCATACAATTTGCGGCCCACCGTGAGGTAGTATTTCTCCAATTGAGTTTTCTGGTCGGGGCGCACTTGGTCATGTACAGATTCCGCTTTTATTTAATTAAATCTGTAATCTCTTTCCAGAAAACCTTGTCCGAGGCTTTAGACAAGTGACTATAAAGTGGAAATTTATCCAGTGAGCATTTTTCTTTACAGTTTTCTTTGTGCCTTCAATTCGAGTCCAGCGCTACCCCAAAAGTTCATTTTTCCTGCCCAGAGCAACGACACCAATTCGCTTTTGTGGACACTGCCTTCCACACACACGTAAGTTAAACTAAAACAAGTGGCTATTAGTAAACAAACTAACAAGCGAACCTTTTTCTTTGCAGGTTTCTTTGTGCTGCATTTTTCCAGCCTC